GCAGGAACTCCACTTTACTCAACCGTGATGTTAAGCCTACTGTACCTACTTGCGAGATTTGACATCTCCAGACAATTATTGTGTCTTCTTAGGGTTCATCCAATAAATTAAATCAAAAGTGATAAACATAGCCATAAAACAAAAAGGAATGGAACACCAAAACATACTGATGTGTTAACCTCATAAAACTATTTGTTTTATATAAGCTAATTGAACAGTACACCGATCAAACTGATTTAAAAAAAAAGACTGCGATCAAGGTCAAAACGAACCTCCCATCCTGTCCCCGTATAAGTTTTTAGAAGCGTTCCCTTATACGGATTCCATAACTTTACTGATTTGTCTGCACCACACGACAAGCAATAGTTTCCATCTACTAAATTCCATTCAACATTAGGTAGAGGAACATGTTGTTCGACGAATCCTCCAAATGGATATTTTTTATTTTGCATTAATGGATAAAGTTATTAAAGCAAACCGTTAAATCTTACAGCTCTGACGGCACCCTGCTTACATTTGATTGTTCGAAAAAGTGTTGTCGGAAGGTTCGTATCTAACAGATCAACCATCGTCTAAGCCTTTCAAAATTGAACGAAAAATTTATTAAAATGCACCAGTTACTAATAAAATCGACAGGTACGCCAAGACTATCAGGATATTTCATAAGAGACCCATCAACTAATTATTCACAGAAGTTATCAAAGGCCAAACAAAGTGGGAAATGATATATTTTCGAAAGATATTTCACAGTGATATGCCCGCTAGAAGCTCCAAAAAAAAAAAAAAAAACAACTGCTTGCAATATTTATGCGATGTCTCAGCAAATACAAAATATATCAAATAAAATGTAGAATAGAATCATCTCCGTAAATCTCGTTGCTTTTGCTCACTTAACGCTCTTGACTCATGTATAATAACAGCAAAATGGATACCCTGAAAATATATTTGCGGTGAAATAAGAAAAGTGCTTACAATTGATTAGTATTGAGACAATCATCAGAGCTTCACTAATCAAAGATAATGCAATAATGACAGCAATCAGTTAGCCTTTCGTTTTCAATTGTAACTACCAAGCATCTATGTATACCATGAATGAAACAAAACTCCTTCGGAAGTGAAAAGAAGACCTGATGAGCAGCTGCATAAACAAAATGACGATTGGCAGTAACTGTAACTGCTTTATAGTAATCACCAGAACCAAATATTATCTGAAATTAAACTAAGAGATAGATCAGGTGACCAATATGAAGACAGTTTATCTTTGGACCTGGCAAATCGTTGTGAACTCCAATTATTAAAATAACGTATTACGTCGAAGTGAAGTTTTAAAGTATCCAAATATCTAAAACTATCGAAACATTTGAAGTATTTCAACCTTCGAATATTTTCAAAGAGTTCAGATGGTAATAATGTGAATATTTACTTTGGATCGCTGGCTGATTCTATCACTCAATTTTAGTGTGGTTGCTCGTTTTGATAGTTTATCTTCTACTACTTCAACTTTTTCAAATAATTCTTTGGCACGTATTTTCTCCTCCGGTCCTGCCACTGTACTCAGGATTGATTGTACAGCATCATATGCTGTTCGACAAATTAGCCACTTTGTACCTGAAAAAATATCATAAGAAAAATTAACTATCCAAGGAACTTATGCCAAAAATAAAGTAAAAATTTCATTAACACTTGAAGAGATAGCAGGCTTGTAAACACATATTATTCACTAAGCTGATAGCATGTGCATTTTGTTGGTCAGATGTAAAATTTATCGAAAAATACATGGAAATTTACTAAGAGGGGGCAAATGGTTTAAACGAAATGACATTATTGCATTTTTAAATCAAATGAATCATTTTCAATGCAAACGTTTATAATGATAATGAATACAATGTCAAATGTTATAAGGAGACCTTCAATAGCTTTCAGTAGTGGAGGCAGGACAGGTTTCTTCCTTTCCAAAGCAGCTTGAGCATTTAATAACCGACTTGTGTAATTATAATTAGCACCATTTTCATGCGTTAACGATGAAATAAGAGCAAATACGGTACTGATATCAAGGTTGACAGCATCTACAACACAGCATTCGTCTTTCAAACACTCGTCCTCCGAAAAAGATTTTGTATTGTCATAAATCTCGTCACTGTCATATGAAGCAAAATCGAGTGGCAATTTCACAAATTCGTTAATATTCACCTAAATTAACGAGATAAACTGAAATCTTAAATCTATGGAAATTTTGAAAAGATTTCCACAAATCCATCCATATCACTGGGTAACATTAAATTCCGTTTTGCAAGCACAGATAATTATTTGTGGACAAGTTAGTAAAAAAAGAAATGAGGTGTTCGAGGAATCAGAGTCTATTGTGCTGTAATTTTAATGATTTGATCCCGAAAGAAAACTGCTTAGCATATACAAAGAGCAAAAACAAGTTTTATAAAGTTTGACTGTAAGTGAAATGAAAAAAAAGAAACAAAAAGCCAAATAATAATTACACCATAATTATAATTCGTGAGTTAAAAAGAGTCAAAGAAATGATCAATGATGCGATATTCTTTAGCTAATATTATAAACTAATATGCTTACCATATCACCAACAACTTCAATCCCAAATGATTCAAGTTTATGTTGCAATAAATCTGGAACACCATGAACGAATTCAAATATTATTTTTGGCACTTTGAAGAAATGAAGATGAGTTTGAGCCATCTAAATATTTCACACAAAAAAAATGGGGAATTTGATTCACTGTTTCTCTATTTTGCTGGAATATAACACAATTAAACTCACTATTAACGAAGAAATATCAGACCTCAATGTAATTTTGTGCTTGCTCAATGACAGATCGATTAGCACTTCCACTAGCACCGATAAAATCCATAGCAAGACCTCGAACGTTTCTAGATATCACTTTCACCTTTAATTAAAAGCACCTAAGTGAAGAGGATCACATGTTTTTTCTTACTTCTCTTTACTCTCGAACACTAGTTCGAGGGTAAAGAGAGGCAAAGAAAAACACCCAGAAAATATCAAATTAGCTGTAAAAATACAAGTAACAAATAAAAGAAAATTACCCATGTAGCACCGCCATCTATCACTAAGTCAACTTCGCGTTTTGATTTCCTGAAAAACACATTCAGATACATTCTATTTGTTTCGGATCTTGAGCAATTCAAGTTTTGCGCAGTAAGATTCATGAGAAAAGATTAGTCAAAAATGAAGTCATTCTTTTAGAAAAATTATGCTGTTGTCTTTAGCAAATAAGGATATAGAATCTGTGAAAAACATAACACTTGGGTCGCTTAGACGACTTTCTCACTGCCTTAACAAATCTGGCACATCTCAACTCACTCATGCCCTTCACGTAACGATGAAAATGAAAATGAAAATGTCTATTAGAATATTTAACGGGAATTTGGAATAATAAGTAGAATACCTCTGTGATGTTGCGAAGCTTTTATAAAAGGCACAACAAGAATGCCTTTTTGCGACGTTAAGCAAGCCTCGAAGATGAGTTATATTGCTAGTATCCAAATATTTCTTCAACTCACTAACCGGTTGATCTTTTAACTGTAAAGATATAATGCAAGGGTTGGAATAAGACATGGAACTAAATATCTCATATTTATTTAGGAATATCATCCACCGATATGGGCAACTTACAGCAGTCAGAAATTTTATCTCCGTTTTCAACTTTTTTTTATATTTTCCAATGCCTTCCATGTCGCGAAAGGAAACGTCAGCTTCAAATAACAACGACTCAACATCGCGGATTTTATCCTCCCAGATTTGTACGGGATCTTCTGCACTGTTACGTGACTCGACAAACATCAGCCTAAAATTATGAGATGAAGTCCGCAGTTCATCTTCATTATTTACTTCTCTCAATCCTAGCAACAATAGAGAAAATCTCAAACGCTTATGCTGCGAATATCTTTTCACGTAATTTTAAACGTGAACTTCTTGAAAAAGAAAAAAAGATGATTGTGAGAGATCAGAAACGATGACACTTCAAGACGACGATTTTTCTGACTTATCAGTCAGTCAGTCAGTCCCGTTTGTCGAGTATCCTTGACCTCCTAATTTCTTTGAAATAACCATCGAATGTTCAGCAAAAGTGGTCATCTTAAAGGGACTTCATGACTGTTAACAGAAGTAGGTTAACTTCCCAGAACAACTACATCCCTCACTTTTAAACCTCTCATCTCAACCAAAAACTTCTTGAACCACTACTACGGCGTGAGGATCACTGTTAGTACAAATGCATTGTTGATGTTATGAAATTGTTGCCAGTACTCTTGAACTAAAATCAAAAAAGACCTCCTCCCCTATTTAGCATCATTTATTTAGTTTAAAATATTAAATAAACAGCAATAAATCATTAGTAAAGAGACATAAAGTGGCAAATACGCATTAACATAATGTGTAGTATAATTGAATTTATTTGAAAAAGCATCAGTCCAATATTGATCGGCAAATTTCAGCAGTTCAGAACCCGCAATAATATCTGCAGCAGCTTCATCGAGGTTAAATCGAATTTTTCAAAAAAAGAAAAAAGTGCAATGTTACAAACAGAGCTAATACATAATGTCAAATCAGATATATGGAGGGATTAGAATAAGACCCAGTGACAAGGCACATGTCGTCAGCAACATATTTCTAATTAAAAACTGCTAATAAAAAAAAGCCCTAAGACAATTTGCATTAAGACAAAGCACTAAGACAATTTCTGCATGATAAGTTGTCCCAAGACTATAAATGCGCACAATGAGAGATCAGACTTACTGAGAATATTATCAAAATGCACACAATACAAGGAGATCTGCAGAGAAAATTTGCTGAATAACAGCTTCGAAACAGATTACATCAACAGCCTATACTTATAAAATGATGAGCAAGAAAAAGGTAAATAACAGTACTTATGAAAAAGATCATATGCATATGAACGAAATCATATCACCTCCAAATCTTGCAAAATCACATAATAATTAGTTCGTGAAACTGCTTGAAAAGCCAGAGATCGTACGTCTTCGATATGATACTGAAGAAACGAAAATTACTTAGAAATTTTTTGACTAGGAAAAGCTATTTCTAGTCGAAATTAATTCATAAAGTTCAAAATATGAAACCGCAACTCCTGCAAATCGCAAAATACGTGAGACTTCTGCTCCAGTGCACGAAGTGCAGGTACATCCGCTATAGCCAATATTTTTCTTAACTAATTGAATGCTTCCTCAACCCTGTTATATTGGTGCATTCAACGCTTGATTATCTAATTATATAATAACTGAGCAATAAATATACAGATCAATAACAGGAGCATACCTTTGCAGTAACAATACTAGCGGGATAAAATCTGTAACTTTCGCCGGATTTGGATTTGCAGTTCTTAACTGCTTGTTCCATCATTACACGCAATAACTCTGGTATGGAATTTGTACTGATTCTGCAAAATTTTGATGGAAGTATTCAGATTTTTGTTAATCGTATACAATCATTAACAGTATATATTTGGATTTTCGTTATTCAAGGATCCTGAAATTTACAAACTCAATCCTTTGCACTGTCGTGTACTGCTTTTAAAAATCCTTTTTCACCCTTCTACCCTCTTTCATGTATTTACGCCCATTACGAGTAATGTAAACAAAATATTTTAGTTGAACTCGATAAAATCTTTAAGATGAAGTACCAACCTATAGTTTAAAACAGTAGCAGCAGCATATTCGAACAGTGTACCAACCTTAACTATTGGGCTGACTGTTTGAAGTAATTGATTAAGGATATTTTGTACTTCTAATTTTTCGTCACTATTGTAAGCAGTCACATCAATCATCTCAAGTGATAGATTCTTTATTTCAGAAGGCAGGAATTTCAACTTATTCCAGCTAATATCCAAACATTTTAACTTTTTCAAAGTATTTATCTGAAAAGAAATTTGATGAAATTCTTAATCCACTCAACTTGTAAAAAGCAAAATTAAAAAAATTAAAAATTAGAAAAGTTATAAAAAGCATTTTGTCCCAAATATGATCGATCATGCATAAAAATAGCAAACTTCCTCACCCAATAATAGGAATATTTGAACAATACACAAAAGTTTATCTTGACTTTTTTGATTAATTTACTGTCTCATTTAATTAAGTGTCCCAGCCAAAAGTTTTAACCATGATTTAATAAACGATGATGTGGTTGGAATTACTAAATTCTGCTTCATATTTCGAAATGTGTTGCAATATAAGCAGAACACTCTTAAAAACTATCATTTCGAGAAGCAAATTAATCACTTTAACGAAGTTGATTGACTGATTCATGGTAGTTTTTTGCTACTTAACCGTTGGTTAACTTCAAGAAACGTACGGTTCGTGGCAATTCTTCAATTCTGTTATGCCTGAGCCATAAACGAGTCATTTGTGGAAAGCGCATGCAACACGGCGACAAGTAAGAGATATGATTGTTCGATAAATCCAGTGACAATAAATTTTGTGGTAAAGCGTTCCACAAATCATCCTGTACAATTGTTCACTTGTAGGAAGAAAAACTCTATTCGAAACTTTTTTGTGCAATTATTGATTATAGAAGCTTAAATTCTGATTAAAGTTTCATAGAAACATCGGATTTCTACTGATGAGAAGTACTGGCTCAAATTCTGTCATCAGATAATGAAACATAAAGTTACCGAAATACACTGTATTTCATTGTCAGCAAGTACAAGTACTTTGAGATGTTGCAATCGAACAATATTTAAGAATTTGATTTCGAATGAATCTGACGCACCAAGCTTATTGCCACTAAGATCAAGTACACGAAGAGAAGTAGCTCCAAACCAACGACTGTCAACAGCAGTCAGGCCAATTTTTGACATTATCAATTCCTGTAGCCAGCATAAAAATAATATTCACACCTAATGAGTAAATTTACACTATTTATAAAAAATCCTACAGCAGAAATCTAAATAAGCACTAAACAAGTTACCTAAATAAGTAACATATTACTGTTCAAATTGAAAAAATAAAAAAAAATAAACAGCAGTACCACTATTCAGATTTCAAAGGAATTTAGAAATAGAACCCTACTAGCAAATAATGCGGAAATCCCAGCTTATTTTCGTTGTACTGTTTCCTGGTGGCCATAATTAGTCTTTTTCGAAGTAAGGCAAAACTGGTGGATGTAACTTTCACGTTCCCATCCAGAATAACTTCTTCGTTTGCCAATACCTTCTGCAACTTTGAGATGAAATTATGAAGTGAAGAGACTGATGCCTGAAAAATATTAATTAGTAGTAAAATTTTGTCTTGGCAATTTCTTTTTAATATTTAACATAGCTCTCAATTGTCACATAGACTGTGCAGTTGTTCTCAATACCACCTCATAAAAACTACATGTGATTTGCTGAATGAAAATAGACAAAAACACAAGACATCAAACTAATTATTTTAATTTATTCGTTAACTATCTACAGGTCATTTAGACTTGCTTTAAGTAAACAACTAAAAACATCATTTCTTCAAATATTTGGAACGTTGAAAAAGTGTCTTTTTTTCAAATCGTTGTTAGTCAATATATATATACGGAGCAACATATAGCTAAATTGTAAAATGAAATTATTGAGAATTTTCAACAATTCTATTCTCATTTTTCATGAAACATTATGTCTTCCAAATTTGGTTCTCCCCTGCGGCAAAACACCAATATTTTCGATGATTATTTCACCAAAAATGATACAATTTGTTGTGTGCCAGTGGAACAAATGAGAAGCGTGTATGAGAAGCGGTGCGCATATGAATCAATCAATACTTTACCTCTTTTATACAAATCAAAACTGACGGAGAGTTCATTTCTATTGTAACAGATCCCCACTGCATCTTTGCAGAATGAATTCGTCTAACATTTCCTCTAGTAATCTGTAAATAAAAACAATCAAACTGATATATAAGATCGACGTGCAATATACTAAGTAATGATGTACGTATATTGCTACGGTTCCCTCGCAAATTAAGCGTTGGGATCAATAAGTACATGGCACATGGCATACAAAATTACATGAAACGAAAACCAAGCATCAACTTAGAACATTCAGTGTGAAATAAAAAATTTTAACCGTATTACTCACATTGAAGAGTCGTCCATTTCTGTTCCGAGGAGTAATTATAACTAACTGACATTCGCCTATTTTACTGATTTTTCCATGTCTTAGTGACAAAATTCCTCTACTGTATCGTTGTCGTTTTTCAGAAGTGAGTAGAGTGAAAGAATTAATTAACACGCTGCAATGCAGTTGCATTTCGTCCCAAAAGACTGACGCCAATTCCGGATAATTTCTGAAATCAAAGTCACATTGCAACTACGAAAAGAAACTCACGTAAAGTAATTGAATGGAGCAAAGATTACAGATAAATGTCAAGACTCATTCAATTACAAGGGAAGGCAAAACAGCTCTTTAAGTCTACCCCACTCTCATACTTAAATTATAACCTTGTTTTCTCTCATGTTTAAAAACAAAAATCTCATATTTAGAATTCAAAATCACATACACATGGCGAAATTCATAGAAATTATAAGCTGCCAGTATATGACCATAGCACAATTAATAAGAAACTGAGTTATTATTATGTTTTTACAAAAATTAGGCTTGGGAAATCATTGCATGTTAAGTGCTTAATTATTTACAGTGCGTTTCTCAAAACTTCGTCTTCATAAAAATATATAAAAAATAACAAAAAAAAAAATAAACTTCATAAAAATAACAAAATGTTTTTAACACCCTCAAAAATTCTTTGCAACCTATCTGAAATCAATAAAACCATTGCAAGAAAACTCTCAGCAGACATAGCAAAGGTAAGAACTGGGAACTGAATGAACGACCACAATTAATTAGATAACTATTATGGTGCCCGAAGTAAAAAGTAGGAAGGAGGAAAGCAAGTTGCATGGACTCAACTAAAGATAACGCAACCTTAACTTTATTTTGACAGAAAATCCCCTCCGCAACATTTTCACAGCTGACACGCAAAGAGCCATGCAACGTACCAACCAGAATATAGTTAGGTATAATAGTACCCATCACCATAATTTCATGAAAACATTTGTGTGAAAAAATCCATAACAACTTTCCATACTGCTGAACACAATCGAATTATGTTTATGACACTAAACGCAATTCTGTGAAATCTAATTCCAAGAAATTAAAAAAATTAACATTGACAGTAATGCATCCCAAATCTATTGTCTTTTTAAACCTCAATTAATTGTTTTTATAGCTACAGAGGTAGTTCCCCACTTTCGTACATCCATATCTTGCAAATACAATAGAAAATAAGGCCGGGTAATCGAGTTGAAGGCAACAAATACAAGTCCTCATAACTACTTCCCAATCTCAAACGAAAAGAGCATAGAAGAAATACTTGAAATCTTATGGGAATAAGTAGCACTGTTTTTTTTTATCACATCAGAAATAATCTGGTGTTATGCAAAGCACTTTATATTTGACGCTAACGAACTTGCAAATAATACTTCCGCAGCAAATCGACATGTAGTCAAAATCACCGAAACGATTACATCTCATACATCCTAAGAAAATTCCATCACATATGGCAGATAAAGTCTTCCCACATGTACGATATTGAAAGCGCTATCGTGATACATCACAAGACCTATTTTTTCTCTTGTTTCCAATTAGTTCAAAATTGGTCGTTAACCAGTTATGAGCTATATTATACATGAAAGAAAATTATAGGTAGATATGATGTCGTGAAGTGGAACAGGCTGAGCACTACTTCTAACTTTTGTCCCGCTTATACTGGGAAATCCACATAGCTGCTACACAAAAGTACGTTATCAGAGAAGAAAATAATGCAGTGATGAATCGAAATCCAACAACGTAATAAACACAAGGACACAGATGAGTTTCATTCAAAAGAAAAAGAAATTCCAGTGATCAGAGAAATAATGCAAGATATACTCCAGAGAATGAAACTCCTGAAATGATACAGAATGTATTACACATGAAAGCTTCTCTGGCAATATTTATTTGGTAGGCTGTTAAAGAAAACTTCGAAATAATTCTAGGATATTTCCATCAGATCCTAACGAAATAAATAATTCTGAATTCCTGGATATACTACGAGTAAATAACAATCGTTTCCGAAAATATGCCACCTTTCGTCTGAATTCTGACTCAAAAGATTGTCTACTTCAACATTCAGGTCATTTAGCTATCAGAATTGAGCCGACATTTTAAAATAGCTAACTGGAATTCGCTGAGTGAAAAATATAAATCTGCATAAAATTGAAGAATAATATGAGTAAACATTGAAAACAGTTGAAGTAATATTTTCAAAGGTACCTGATGATGCTTAAACCACAAGCTACTGAGATTAATTATTAAGAAGAGCTGTAAAACAATACCAACAAAAACACTAAAAAGAAAAAATCATTTCCCACTTCTTCATTAAACTAAAAAATCCATAATTTATTACTATCATTGTAAAAGAGATACCAACAGTTATTTTTTCATATTATCACAAATTGATTAATTTTCCACGGCATTCGCTGCAGTGTAAATTAGGACTGCAAGGTGCCAATGTTCTTGTACGTTCCAGATCCTGGAAAAAATGCTGAAAGTTAAGTTTTTCGGAAAAATTTTCCTTTTTTTTTATTGAAGCAATAAACTCTCCTCATAAAAAAATCTTAAAACTTATTCACAAGTCAGCAAACAGATATTTAACCGTCAAAAAAAGAAACTCAATTTTTTCGTACAATTTTATATGTCATTTCTCTCCTGTGATGAGTGCGAACAAATTATTTTATAAATGGCAGTTATGAACCAATTTAAAGTATCGGAAATAAGCTCAAGAAGTGAAAAAATTTCCCTTTTGTAATATTTGCTGCTTATTTCACATGCACAACAAATTAAAGTGTCACCTGCAACTCTGATATCAAATTTAAAATCCTCTGCACACCAATATCATCATCAGCATTGCTTTCCAAAATGTTTGTCTTGATTTCATTTCTAGGAATGTCTATAATGGAACACTTATTTAATTTTCCCCTCAGAAAAGCTGAGTCACATGCATAAAAAATTAAAATGTCACCTGCAATCTCATATCAAAAAAGCGAATTATAGCTTAAGAGCATCATGCTTTTCACTGCCAAACTCACTTGAAATGCCAATATATGAATCCGGGTTGTTGAGAATGAGCAGTTTTGAACCATCAACAACTGTCTCCTCAGTACCAAAAAATTCATCCTCAGTACCGCGACTGTAACACAAAATAATACAAGCATAAAAAAGGAATAATCAATAATACCCTGAAAAGTATTCAGAAAGACTTGTAATATACCTATACGGTCGCACACTCCGTGAATATTTCGATGACTCATTACGGTTTAGCGTCTCTTTTTCATGTTCATAAATATGCAACAATCCTTTCTTTGATAATAGATTTATCAGAACTTTTTGTAGCTCGTTCAGCTTTTGCTGAAAAAAAAAAGACAACCAATTAAATAAATAGCAAATGCCTAAAAGTTTTCAGATATCCAAGAATTTTAGTATAACAAGTATGATCCATAAGCAGTATTGCAGTGTCCGACAACAAGTATCATCTCAATAAAATAACAATAGGAATGGTATGAAATTGAATACAGCGAGGAGATGAGGTTAATTATATCACACTGCAGAAATTATCAAGAATAGAATTCATTTGAATGCAGTATCTTAACTTGAATTCTATTTAAAGAAAAACTGGGAGAAACAATAATGACCTGCATTTGTTCTTTTTCAAAAGACAATTTTGCAACTGCTTCCTCTCTTTCGCGCATCCTCTCATTGATCTTTTTTCTTTGATGTTGATACAATGTCACATAATCACCTACAATAATTGAAAAGGAACTGATATCAGTTTAGCACAGCTCTGATTAATTATTAGCATTTAAAGCAATCAATCATCTGCACACCGATAGTATCATTTTCAGTCTCCAACTGCATTACAATATGTTGAAGATGTTCCTTTTCTTCGGCAAGATCTGCAACTTGTCGCATTGCCCGAGTGAAACGAGTCTCCAGTTCCGTCCAAGCCAGCGGTTTTTCTTTTATTAAGGGTGCTAAAAAAAAAAACTGAATTCGAATTGGAAAGAAGCAATAATTCTATACTCTTGGCCAATTATGCATTTTTCTCTGTGTTGCGAATTATGATGCCACTTGGAAACTCGGAAATAAAGGTATCGAACTTCACAGCCCAGTTCTATCTTCTTTTAAAAAACTTTTTAAAAAAACCTTGAAATAAATTAAATTCCCCGTCCTTCCCTGTCCACTTTTCCAACATTCACAATTGCTTCTCGAAATGCGTATAAATGAACCTTCAAGTTGCTTCATAACATCGCTATTTAGCCAAACAGGAGACAATGTATCGTATTGAGATGATGAAGGCGTATTACTTGATAATGAAGCATTGTTTAACTTCTCTTGCAACAAGCTGATATCATTCCGTAATTGTTCATTCTCAACAGATAATACGTTGATCCTACAAAAGCAAGCATCATTCAAGTGAACATTATCTAGCAAACAACTTAAAATACTAATACACCCTTGATAACTTATTTCAATCAATAAAGAAGTTAAAAAAAAAAAACTACTTGTACATAACAGCTCATTACATTCACAAGTCCATGTGAAATTTAAGTATAAATAATGTCCAAATCGAAAATAAAAAATGAGCGATTTTAAAGCAATACCTCTCAACTGCTTGTCCCAGTTCAACATGAATGTTATTCTGATTTTCATCCTCAGAATTTTGTTCCATTATCCTACAACACAATTTTTAAAAAAATGATGAGCTGCATTCCTGAAGAACATTTCTAAGCAAAGTTTTTTTTTTTCGAATCCAAAAATCCTGAAGAACACAGCATTTTCGAAAACATATATAGTAGTAACAAAAATATAATTACTAGTGACCGAGCATACCTTCGCAATTCCTCATTCTCTTGCATTACTCGCCTATGATCAAGCCTTAATTCATCCAAGACCATTCTAACATTAGCTAATTCTACTTCAGCATGGATATGAGTATCTTCTGTGTGCGAAAGCGACATATCTCTATCATAGCACTCAGAAACCGACGGTGTTGAAATAGTCTGGAATTTGCGAGTCCAAAAGTACAGGTTGTTGAAATCCAGAAATATGTGCTACTTATAAAAGTTATGCATTTCAAGTTGATTTTTGAGCCTATTGTGAGTATATGGGGAAAACAAAGTTAATACAGATTAATGCATGGTGTCGTTACCATGCATTAATGATTGTAAGCTAAATACTGCGGCAAACCGACCCCAAAAAAGATTTAAAATGTCGTAATTCAAGTTGCCATTTAGCATTCAGCATGTTCCGCTGGCGACTAACAAACTCACAACGAGAACACTGACTGAATCAAGATAAAACGCCAGTAAAATGAGCTTTTTGCTTTATATGAAAAGTTTTAACAAATTATATTCCGCGTTTACTTCATCACGGTCTTGTGAATCGATATACTGAATATGCCGCTCCTGCTCATATGCATCGCCGTTCGACATAATTGGGACTGTCAAAGAATTAACATTTTTGCCATCAAAAGATTGATCAGAAAGCCGATTCAATTCATTTCTCAGCTGACTAACCAAATGCAATGCACTCAGTCGTCCACTTTCCCTTTCCATGCTTTCCTAAACCATGATTCAATATGATTTTCGTGATATCAAAGTTATCTACACAGTACAACTTATCGTGTGACATAGCACTGCTAACTTCTATTTAAAGTTTGACGCACCCAATTAAAAAACAGACAAAACAACTTGATTCTCAAAAATTCTAATTAGCTTTCGATTAAAATCAGGTATCATTACAAACCTCTATTTAAACAACCCCTTAAAAGCAGTTAAAACTTCTGTAATATGGAAAAAAATTGAACAGCAACCTGTGTAACCATTACTAATTTATCTTGCAGTTCGATCAACTGCTCCTTCAATTCTCGATTCTGCGCAATAGCTCTTGAAACCGTAGCTTTCTCATTCTGCAGCTGCTCTGATAGTGAAAGTGCTCCCTTAAAAATTTAACTATGTCTAAACAAATAGCCTAGAATGTGCAAGATTATTTTTAAAATAATGAATCAACCTCTGCATATTTCTGTTGCTCCTCAGCAATAGACCGAGCTCTTGAAAGCGATTCTTCAACCATGGCCAGTTCAGCAGTTTTTTTCATCAACTTTGATTTCTAAAAATATAGTGTCGAAAAAACCGTATCTGATCTATGATTGCAAAAATCGGTGAAATCTTCATCCACCAATCTTATCACTATTCAAGCATAACATTACTTCATTTACATATAATGCTTACAGAAAAAGAAACGGAATGAGTTGGACAGACAATGATTTAGTCAAATAATACAACATTATCAAAAGAAAAATGTAGCACCATGCAATGTGGCAAATAGTGTCGGAAAAACTCCGAAAGTCATAACGCGAAATTGCAGCATATAAAGAAGGAGGCCCTGAACGCCAAATCATTTTCGCAAGAAGTGTTGCAACAGGTTGATTGGGTAGACGATACCGGGCGTTATTGGTTTTTTGGTCTTCCTTTTTGCTCATAGTGATATTGTGATCGTTGAGATCGTTTCTGTGTTACCGAGTTTTGAGAAATAAAGGCTTAATTACCCAAGTTTGAAACCAAGAAATTCGGCAACAAATAGTCCCAGGCGCTTAATTTCAAGTTTAACGAAACACTACACGACACAAATAGAATTCCACAAAAAAAACCTCATCATTAAGAGCAGAAGAAAGTATCTGAACTTCCTGTTCTTTATTCACAAGTTTTGCGTTCAATTCCTCAATCAGTTGTTCCGCTCTTTGGTAGTCATTCGCAGTTTCAATCAATTTATTTTGGACTTTCTGGAGTTCGACTGAATTCTTGAATAAGTTACAATTAACAAAACTTAAGATTAAAGAAGATAAAAGGATCATGGAAGCCACACATTATTCCTCAGTTCTTAAATATAAATTTCAATTATAATTTCTGTCATTTCGCAACTTTCAGAACGAACAAGGAAAAAGTTTGTGATTAACTCAATGACCTTCTACCATCGGTAAGCAGTGGCCACTTAAAAATATCACCAAAATGATAAGAATCTTCGCGATCATCCAAAAGACTAACCACAGTATAGCTATAATCATCATTCACTAAATTTGGTCTGTCGATTGCCTGTAACATTTCTACTTGATTTTCTAAAGTCTGCACTTTTGATTCCAGAACTAGCTTCTCATTTGATATTTCCTCCAGCTGCAAAAAGAATTTGCACATCACTCGCTTCAAATTGAATTTTTAACCGGAAGTTCTCTGTCCAGTTATTAAAATCTCATCCTTCTAATCAATTTATTTTTTACCTTCGTACTCATTTGTACGATATTCTGATTCAGTTGTGTCCCATACAATTCATAACGCTCCCGTGCCAATTGTGCTTCCTTCCTCCATTTTTCTGTCTCATCTACTGCTCTAACCAGTCTACTTCTCAGTTCTTCAATTTCATCTATAATATATATATATATATATATATATATGTATATATATATATTATTTTTTTCTTAGTTAAAGTAAATATATATATATATATATATATATAT